GATGGATTCTCCTTCAGTCTCTCTGAGGAAACTCTGGCTGCAGTTCACCTGAAACTCTCTGGATGTTTCCTGTTGGTCTCTGCTGAGTCGGTGGTGGAGGATCAGAACCAGGAGGAAGGTTCTGGTTCTACAGGATCAAGTTGTTTTGTTTTTTTCCAGAAATGTACAGTGAAGTGATTCAGATGAAAGATAAATTATTTTACACTTAGATGTGGTTAATATTTCAGACAGAATGAGAAGTCACACGTGACACATCAGATCAAGAACCACATGAAAGTTCAGATCTAATGACTGTTTACAGGTGTCGCTGTGGAGATGTTTTCGTTGTGGGGGTTTAGAGGGCTGAAACGACAACGTCTGATTTTGTCAAACACTTGCTTCCTCACCTTCTTGTGAATGGAAGGACTAAGACGAGAGGAGAACAGGTCAAGAATGAAGAAGTGAGAAGAGGCGGTCGACTGTGGAGGTGCAGAAGTTATCTGCAAACAATCCCACAATGCAACAGACACGACGATCTAAACACGGGCTGGTTCTCACCTCAATGACGATGTCACAGTGGGCGGGAAGAGAGCGGTCTTCATTGTCCAATGGGGCGTCATAACCCACAGAGTAGTTCAGGAAACCTCCATAGGACACCAGCTAGACAGACGGACAGACAGACAGACAGACAGACAGACAGACAGACTTCGTTAGTTTAAAAAAAATAAAGTCAAACTGTCACAAACTAGCAGCTGATTTGGCTGAATTTAACTCAGACAGAAAGCACAGGAACACAAATGACCCTGAGGCACCGCTGAAATACTTCAGGTATTGGTACCACCAATCAGACCTTCTAGGTATAGAAGGAGGTGTCGCTCTTTGGCAATGACTGCTGTGCAAAAATGGAAAATCAAAAGATGAAGGTCAATCAGGACAAGGGGACATCAGTCGTACGCTCTTATCTCTTATTCAGATGGAATTGGATCGAGACAGACAGGTTGCCTATTGGGCCATATGTTGAAATGGTAGCTGACCTTGTTTCCAAGAAAACTTTCAGGCGCCGCCCACTGGAGCACCTGTTGGTGGGAGGAGCCAGAGGAGGTGTTGCTGGGAACGATGAGGTCGTTGTCGTGGAGGACGTGGTGGTTGTGGAGGGAGTGAAAGGGGTGGAGCCGAGCGTTTGTATGAAATACCTGAACAACAAAATATGCAATCAGTCCTCATGTTTTCAGAAGTCCCACGATGTACTGCAGTGTTACCTGAGCACAGGTGTGTGTTACCTGAGCTGTGGACCAGGCGGAGCTCTCGCAGACATCAGACACACCAAAACAGAAACAGTCGGTGCAGCCGAGAGGGTTGTTGTCCTGCAGGTTGTAGAAACCTGGCTTGCACAGATCGCAGTGAGCTCCCATCACGTTCACCTGACGAGGAAAGAACAGGTGAGACGTCAGAGAACAGGTGAGATCTCACCAGAGCGCTTCAGCTGTGACATTAAATGAGTTAAAGAGTGGAGCAGGTGAACGAGTGACCCCACCCCCTCGATGATGTCAGCGGTTACCTTGCAGGTGCAGGTGCTGCAGGGGTCGCTGTTGGTGCTGCCCGACAGGTTGCACTCACAGTGAACACACCGGGGAAAGTCTCTGTATCCAAACGCACAGCGGTCACACCGGCGACCCGCAAAGCCTTCCTGACACACACACTGACCGGCAGACACGCCTGAACACACACAGACACACACTCAGTCAGAGCTGCACAACATGTTTACTGCTGCCGGAAAGACTGTAAACAACAACAACAACAACAACAACAATAACCTGGCTGTGTGTCATCTCTGCTGCAGACTGAAGACTTTGATCCTCTCAGGTCACAGAGACACTCGACACAAGGAGAGTCCGAGTACGGAGAAACC